GGTTCTAGTCCCGCTGCCCCTCTTCCGATCCAGCTCTCTGCTGTGGCCTGGGAAAGCAGTAGAAGATGACCCAAGTCTTTGGGCCCCTGCACCCGCATGGGAGACCAGGAGGAAGCACCTGGCTCCTGGCTTCAGATCGGCGCAGCTCTGGCTGTTGCAGCCATCCGAGGAGTGAACCAATGGAAAGAAGACCTTTCTCTCTGTCTCCTCCTCTCGCTGTCTGTAACTCTGCCTCTCAAATAAATAAATAAAATCTTTAAAAAAAAAAAAAAAGGAACTCCCCACCTGTTATAAAGGTTGAGGAGGAGACTGATGGTGTTCTCCACACCTGCCGAGTGATTGTCATGACTGCTTGGAATGAGGTAGATGAGGCACGTGTGTACAGATAAGATCACTTATATGCGTGTGTTCTTGTTTCCCACAAGTGGCGAAGCTGGTTGTTCCTTTCCCAAGGTCACACAGCTCCTAAGGACCATCCTGCCCTGGAGCTGATTCAGGATTGATTTTTTTTTTCCTGTTCAATTCAACCAAAATGTTCTTGTTTACCCTGGGCCCCAACACTACAGTTAGGCACTGAATGAGATATGGCTGTCAACCCAAAGGAAGTTGTATTTTATCTGAAACCATATTTTAAAAGAAGGAGAGGTTTTTTGGCAAACTTGGGACTTTGTCTCCTACAGTGCTCTATGGAATACCACACAGTGGTTAAAAAAAATGAAGTCCAGTCATTTGCAACAAAATGGAGAAATCTGGAAAACATACTGAGTTAAATAAGCCAGTCCCAAAGGGACAAATATATGTTCTCCTTGATCTCTGACACCTAACTGAGCACCTAAAAGGAAACCTGTAGAAGTGAAACTGACACTATGAGAAGCAATGACTTGATCAGCACTTGTCCTGACTGTGGAGGAACAGCTTACTATTTTATACTTTTAGTATTTTTCTTTTTCTACTTAATACCATTGGTTGAACTCTTTACTTAATACAGAATTATTCTTAGGTGTTCAAGTCTAATTAAGAATTGATCCCTGTAAAAAATAAGAGTGGGAATAAGAGAGGGAGGAGATGTACAGTTCGGCACACATTCCCACGGACTTACACCTAAGGGTAAAGCTAAAAATTTGCCATAGGATTCCAAATTCCATTAAGTTGCCAGGTATTAATGCCATCTTACATGTTAAAGTGATTATATTAAGTATGTTACTGATCATATAGATAGAATTAAGTGTCAAAGGGATCAAATAAATAAGGCCAAATGTCTGGTAATAAGAACAGATAGAATTTAAAAAGAGAGAATGGGCAGGAATGGGGGGAAGAAACACTATATTCCTTTTTTTTTTTTTTTTGACAGGCAGAGTTAGAGAGAGACAGAGAGAAAGGTCTTCCTTCCGTTGGTTCATCCCCCAAATGGCCGCTGTGGCCGGCACTGCGCCGATCCGAAGCCAAGATCCAGGTGCTTCCTCCTGGTCTCCCATGCAGGTGCAGGGCCCAAGCACTATGGGCCATCCTCCACTGCCTTCCCGGCCCACAGCAGAGAGCTGGACTGGAAGAGGAGCAACCAGGGACAGAATCTAGCACCCTAGCCAGGACTAGAACCCAGGGTGCCGTCACCGCAGGCAGAAGATTAGCCTAGTGAGCCGCGGCGCCGGCCGGAAACACTATATTCCTGAAAGCTGTACATATGAAATTTGTATTCATTAAATAAAAACCTTAAAAAAATAAAAAGGAATATGCTGCCAAAACAAACAAGCAAACCTCAGAGACCACCCCTCCCTGGCAGGCTGAGTGAGTAACTTAGCACAGGGTGTATCCTGGGAGGCCTCCACGAAGCGAGGTGCTTTACGTGGTACCAGCTTGTCATCGCGAGTGCTCACACGCGCTTAGCTGAGCCTAGAGCTGGTGGGCAGTACAGTCGGATATTTCACAGCAGCGCCTTGCAGGGCTCCCTCCCTTCTCCCCCAGCCTCAGCACCACTGCAGGGATGGTGGGTGCAGCTCCCGTGGCTTCTGATTCTGCCAGGCCCTCTGAAAGAAGTTGTTTCATTGCACAGCTCTGAGGGGCTTCTCTTCACAGGCCCCTTTAAGAACACTGCATTCTGCCGTGGGAGGATACTAGAAGACATTAAACCGCCTCAGTAAACTTTGACCTTGGAGGATAACTCTTATCAGCTCCATCAGAGCTTAACTGCTCCCTCTGACCTTGGCCTTTTCTTACAACTCATCTGGTCCTGCCTCCTGGCTCAGTCTCCTCCCAGCTTTCCCTGGCCAACTTGCCTGGTTCTTTTCCAACTGCCTAATGTGCCATAGCCTCAGATTTCAAGCTCTGACTGACCTGCTGACCTGGACGGTGCACACCCAGCTCCTGGCTGACAGCCCCAGCGCTGTGTCCCCCAGCCCCCTCCTGATTTGGCTGGCTCTGTCCTGTAGGCAGCCCTGGCCCAGGGGACTCTGTCCACCTTTCCCCACCACACAGGTCTAGGTGGGGCATGCCAGCACCTCATGAGGAAGAGCAAAGCCAAGCCTAGGAAAAGGAGGGAGGGCCTGGAGAGGGAGATCGAGCGTGTTTCAAAACAGACCCTCGAGTCCCTTCCCTCCGTAAGCAGGAGTCTCCTGTGTGTCAGGCATTGTCCTGGGCCATGCAGGCACAAGATGAGCAGGAAGGATATTGGGATTCCAAAAAACTACTGATCTAGAATGAAGTGCAGTCTGTCCCACTGTTACCATACTAGTCACACAGTCTCATGCTGGGTAAGGAAGTTTTTGTGAACTCAACTTGGACTTAGTATTATCCTGAGCTAGCTTCCACGGTTATTGTAGCCAGAATACTGTTTATGGGCCAAAGTTGAGTTACAGCTACTAAACTTATGGAGTACTGGGACAGTGACCAAGTCTAATATGAAGTGTTACATGTATCACCTGTATTAAAACAGAAGGGATGATTGCCCATCCTTAACAACTGCTCTCATATTCTGCAAACAGGACTGTCAGGAAATTGATGAAGTTTTTGCCAGTGTTTCTCCCAGTCTTTGAAGAGACAACTGGGTATTTTGTGAGCCTTTACCCGTAGTGTGAGTGGCCACCTGGAGACTTTGGTCAGCATGAGTGGCAAAGTCAAAGCTTTTTTTTTTTTAAAGATTCATATTTATTTATTTGAAAGGCAGAGTTCCAGAGAGGGGAGAGACCTCTCTGTTTCTCGAGAGAGAGAGAGAATCTTCCATCTGCTGGGTCATTCCCCAAATGGCCACAACTGCTGGAGTTGGGCCAATCCGAAGCCAGGAACCAGGAGCTACTTCTGGGTCTCCCACACAAGTGTTAAGTGCCTCTGCTTCTCTGTAACTCTGCCTTTCAAAAAGATAAATAAATCTTTAGAAACAGACAAACAAAAAAATCTTTTCACTTAAAAAAAAGCTTTTAAGGGCTAAGCAGGTTGTTCGGGGAGGGGCAGGGTGATGAAATATTTAAAATAATAGTATAAGAGATATTGTTATAAAACTGCAACAGCGACAGTGCTGTGCCGGCCGGGTGAGAGGATGGCAGAGGTTACCGTTGCACCAGCCTCTATATGTGAGTGGTCTGCTTAGGAAAACTTGTTTGGGAGAATTGATGTACTTGTACAATGTAAGGCAGCAGGAAATTGTGTTATTACCAACGATCACCAAAATGTAGTCAGCGTATAGTCTATAAAATTATGCTCTTGTATTTCTCTTCAGAATTAGAAAAGGCCAATTTCACATTCAAAATTTAGTCTAAAAAACTAAACATGAGTTTTTAGATTATTCATCATAGAGTCTGGGTATGTCTTTTTTTTAAAAAAGATTTACTTTATTTATTTGAAAGAGTTACAGAGAGAGATAGAGAGAGAGAGGTAGAGATAGAGAGAGAAAGAGGTCTTCAGTACTCTGGTTCACTCCCCAGATGAATGCAAAGGCCAGAACTTCGCCGATCCACAGCCAAGAGCCAGGAGCTTCTTCTGGATCTCCCACATGGGTGCAGGGACCCAAGCACTCGGGCTATCCTCTGCTACTTTCCCATGTGCATTAGCAGGGAGCTGGATCAGAAGTGAAGCAGCTGGGACTTGAACCAGTGTCCATATGGGATGCTGGTGCTGCAGGCCAGGGTTTTAACCCACTGCACCATAGCAGCAGCCCCTGGACATGTCTAAAATGGCAAAAGCAAAAGCAGGTTACAGCATTGCTCTGCAAACATTGAGGATAGCTAGAACAACTCACCTGAGTTCCCCCCACCCCCATAAGTATTTGGTATGCTGCTGGGAAAATCTCAGTAGAGCTTATTTAAAACCTAATTGCTTGGTTAAGTAGAATTCAACTCGGAATCAGTTATGATTCTGATCAGAATCAGATACGGAGAGGGAAGACTAGGACTGAAAACACTCAGTGTGACACCAAGAAGTGCCTCCACATCCCATATCAGAGTGCCTGGGTTCCAGTCTGGCTCCACTTCCAAACCCAGCTTCTTGTTTATGTGCACCTGGGACACAGCAGGTGGTGACTGAAGTACCTGGCTCTGTGCCACCCGTGTGGGAGATCTGGATTTTGTTTGAGGTTCCTGGCTTCAGACTGATCCGACCCCAGCTGGTATAGGCATTTGGGGGAGTGAACCAGCAAATGAATGACCTCTCTCTATCTCTGTTTCCCTGCCTTTAAAATACAATTTAAAGCAATAAATACAAATTTTAAAAAGAGAGATCACCTTACTGAAGTTGCTTCTCTAAAGGAAAAACTGGTCTTTGGTAGGAATTTTCTGGAGTGGGCAGTATCATTTCTCGAATCTGTCACTCACATTATATATATGCCCAGTGTCACATTTAGACACTTAAAGAGCTAACTTTTGTGTTATTTTTTTCTTAAACAGTATCAGATTTTTCCCAGGCATAGAGAATGTATGTTATCTATCAAAATAAACAAAAGGATTCAGCGAAAAATGGAATTTTGAGCAAACCTCATGGATTCTTGTCCTGACTTTGTTGTAATTCTGTTCCAGGGTCTAATGGCTGTAGATTGTCCATACACTGGCATTGTGGACTATCGGCAGGTTGCTTTGTCCTTTGCCCAGGATTTCCAACAAGCGGGTGGTTCTATCTTAACCAATTTTGAAGTAAATGATATTGAAATGGCTAAAGAAAGCCCTTCAAGAAGTAAAGATGGTAAGCATTCTTATCTTTTCTACTGAATACTTGTAGTGACTTTTTAAAAACCTTGGGGTCGCTTTTTCTGGATTGGTGCTAATGGAAAGGTCACCAGGAGCTAGGCTGGAGTAGGTCTCAGAGGCAGGCGCACAAGGGATAGTGTGCGGTTGGATGTTGGACAGCCAGGGCTCCTCAAAGGTCCCCAAACACTTCCTTGCCCTGCAGGTTAGAGTCAGAATTGCTTGTTCAAAATGAAATTTTGATATCACCAATACTTCTTGAATCAAACCAAACTTACTGTCTGGGGAGAACTTAGGAGAAATTGGGAGAATTGATGTACTTGTACAATATAAGGCAACAGGAAATTGTGTTATTACCAATGATCACCAAAATGTAGTCAGTGTATAGTCTATAAAATTATGCTCTTGTATTTCTCTTCAGAATTAGAAAAGGCCGGCCGGCGCCGCGGCTCACTAGGCTAATCCTCCGCCTTGTGGCACCGGCACACCGGGTTCTAGTCCCGGTTGGGGCGCCGGATTCTCTCCCGGTTGCCCCTATTCCAGGCCAGCTCTCTGCTGTGGCCAGGGAGTGCAGTGGAGGATGGCCCAAGTGCTTGGGCCCTGCACCCGCATGGGAGACCAGGATAAGCACCTGGCTCCTGCCATCGGATCAGCGCGGTGCGCCGGCTGCGGCGTGCCGACCGCGGCGGCCATTGGAGGGTGAAACCAGCGGCAAAGGAAGCCCTTTCTCTCTGTCTCTCTCTCTCACTGTCCACTCTGCCTGTAAAAAAAAAAAAAAAAAGAATTAGAAAAGGCCAATTTCACATTCAAAATTTAGTCTAAAAAATAAACTATACATGAGTTTTAGATTATTCATTTATAGAGTCTGGGTATGTCTTTTTTTAAAAAGATTTTTTATTTATTTGAAAGAGTTACAGAGAGAAGGAGGGAGGGAGAAGGCCTAGGAATAATAAACCTTTTTAAAAATGTTTATTTTATTCTATTTATTATTTTTTATATTATTTATATGAAAGACAGAGTGACAGAGACAGACAGATAGACAGAAAGAGATCTACCATCCACTGGTTCACTCCCCAAATGACTGCAATAAGTAGAGCTGTGCCAGGCTTATGCCAGGAGCCTAGAACTCCATCTGGGTCTCGTGGGTGGCAGGGCTCTAAGTGCTTGGGCCATCGTCTGCTGCTTTCCCAGGTGTATTAGTAGGGAGCTGGATCAGAAGTGGAGCAGCCAGGACTTGAGCTGGAGCTCCAATAAGGAATGCTGGTATCCCAGGTCAGCTGAGCCTGCTGTGCCACAGCACTGGTCCTGGAATAAAACTTTGGATGATTCTTGGGCACACCCATGTTTCAGAAAGACATCCCGTGTTCATAACACGATTCAGCCATTCTGAACACCCCCACTCCTGTTTTACACAGCACTTAGAGTTTATTTTGTTTTGAGGGTGTGAATATTTTTTTTAAATCAGATGAAAGATTTGAAAGGCTTCTATTTGCTACTGGGAAATCTGAAGGAGAAAAAAAAGTAGTGCCATGTTCTTTCTTCCTTGGCAGGTTTTAAAGACGATCGAGGCCGTTCTCCTCGGCCTTGTAAATTTTAAGAAGATGAACCAATTGTGAAGTAATTAAGGCTGTTGTCTGTAGGCAGCATAATGAATCTAATTTACAGTAGAGGTAGATGTAATCTTATTTGCTGTTCATATACACTAAAAGACTGAGATCCCATGTATCCGAGTGGAAATTAATCTGATAGACAGTTGGTTTAATATTGGAAGTGTTTGGGTGGTGATAACCTTGCTTCTCTCAGCAACAGAGAACCTGCAAGGAGTCAGGTCAGCAACACTTGGACAACACAACTTCTTCTGTAATAGCTGTAGCTTGTGGGAAAATACCTACTGATTTATCATGATCCATTGTATAGCATGATTTCTAGGACTGTCATTCAAGGAAAAGTTGGCACTGTGTTGGAGCTCAGATGGGGAACGGTTTATAAGCACAGATTAAACAAATTAAAATAGAATGAGCTAAAAAAAATGCCAGAATTTTCAAGACTGTCAAATGTGGACTAGTTTAGTCTTATTACTTGGTAAAACACTTCAGAATGAAAAGTAGGTTGCAAGTGTGGTTATGATAGAAGAAATTCATTTACATTTGTTACTAATATAATATTTCCAATAATATTGATCTTCTTTTGCTAAAAATAAGTCTTTTACAAATTCTTTTTTTTTCAGGGATGAAATATCCAATTGTTATAAAGAATACAAAGGTAAAATTCCTTAAGCCAAACTACTTTCTGTTTTTTCCCTTTCCCTTTAGTAAAAAGTTGAATTAATCCAAAGTGTTGTCTTTAAAATATATATATATATATATATATATTTATTATTTATTTATTTAAAAAAAGAGAGACAGGCACAGACACACTGTTCCTAATTCACTCCCCAAATGCCTGTAACAGCCAGGGCTGGGCTAGGCTAGGCTAGGCTGAAGCCAGGAGCCTTGAACTTAGTCTAGGTCTCCTACATGGGTGGTAGGAACACAAGTACCTGGGCCATCAGCTGCTCTCTTCCAAGGTGCACATTAGCCAGAAGCTGGAACTGAAAACAGAGCTGAGACTCAACCCCAGGCTTTCTGATACGGGTTTCAGTCATCCCAAGAGATGTCTTAACCATTGTTCCAAAAGCCCACCTCACACGGTGCTGTATTTTAAGCCATTGAATGAAATTGGTCTAATGTAACAGTAACCCCAAGAGAAATTCTTTTAGAGATATTTAATAACTTTTATTCTAAGAAGAGTTTTGGCTTTGGAATGTCTTCATAAAATGGCACACACACAAAAGGATAATAAACACTTGGAATGGTTACTCTTAAGGCAAAACTGAGAGGTATTTTATTGCTCTGCTTCCCGGTCTGGGTTAACTTACTTACTAACGAGAAAACTTTGAGGGGGTGTGCAGGTTGTGCAGAGGGAGATGAGCTGCTTTTCTTCTTTCTCACACAGTGTCAAACAAGAATCACAGAATGACAGAGAAGCGTGGATTGCCTTGTCTATGGCAGCGTCAGGGTCCAGTTCCGGAAGCAGAGTCATTCCTGAGTATTCTAGGATTCCTGGTGGGAATCAGGCCTCATGCAGTTGTGAAAGGATCTGGGTAAGCAGAGATCCAGATGGGACTCTGCATCCCAGACGGTACCTCCACGTGTCCAGCTGCTGGGTGTGGGGGTTGATGGGCTGCAAAAGGGAACCCTCTCAGAGCTCTGAGGCGTGCTCTTGCCTCTGGGTCTGCACCCAGGCAGCAAACTGGGGCAGTTCTTGAGGATCAGTAGTTGGAAAACACAGTTGGAAAGAGATCTGGGGTTCACTGGGCCGTGGCAGTGGGTGTCAGCCTGTTTCTACATTAGACCACATTGGATGGGGATGACCTTTAAACAATAGTGACCACTGCTTTCCTTCTGCCTGCCACATCTTAGGCAGTGCCTGACTCGGTGTACTTCAAGATGGAACTATACAGAGGAGGGAGTTGTCAAGCAACGTTCCAGCTTAACCCAGCTGACACAGTACAGACCCACCCCTTGTTACCCAGGCATTCATATGCACGCTTCACTGCCACAGTTAGCTTCAGAATAAAGACAGTAGTAAAACTGTGCTTCCACCCAACAGGGTGTAACTGGCCCTCAGGGAAGTTCACTCTATCCATCTTTGGGTGGTGTGCATTCTTTTCTAGCTGAGCCGTACTCCTGTGAGATCCTGGAACTTCAGTACTGCAGTACAAGGTTAGCCTCTGTTTATGCATCTTGTGTTAGATTAGTAGTTCTCACCTGGAGGCGATTTTGCTCCCCAGGAGACATTTTTGCTTGACACAGCTTGGGGAGATAGAGGGGGAGGGGGAGAGGGAGAGGGAGAGGAACAGTGTTCTAGCATCTGGTGGGTAAAGGCCAAGGTTGCTGCTCAACATCCTTCAGTGTGGGAAACAGACCTCTAAAACCCAGATGTGTCCAGCCCCAAATGCCAGTGGTATTGAGGGGGAGAAACCCTCTGTCTGATAATGGGGGGATGGCAGGGAGGGCTGTCCTACTCTTCCCAAGCTGCCATACAGAATACCACCAAAACTGAGTGACCTGAACAACAGAAATCTCTCTTTCCTTCTTTTCCCCCAGTCCCGTATGCTGGAAGTCAAGGTCAGGGTGCTGTCAGGTTGCTTTCTGCCGGGGCCTCTCTAACTGGCTTGTAAATGGCCGTCTTCTTACCAAGTCCTCCCACGTCCTCTTCTCTGTGCGTATGCAGAGTGATCTTGAGTGTCTTTTCCTCTGTGTGTGAGGACCCCAGTCCCATTAGATTAGGGGCCTCCCTTATGACCTCCTGTAGCCTTAGTTACCTCCCTAACAGTCATGTCTCCAACTCATTTTAGGAAGTCAGGCTTCAGTGTGTGGATTTGAGGGAACACAATTCAGTCCTTAACAGTGGGACACAGAAAGAATGGAATAATCTATAGACAGAGACATTTTACTTCAAAGTAAATAAAAGATCCTCATAACTACAATATTCTGTAATTAGTCATAAGGTCACAGCTGATAGATAATTTCCTTCTTCCACTACCCATTCCTTGTTTTCCTTCCGTTTGGCAAGTATCTCAGCTGGTCATGGTTCCCAGTCTGGTAGAGTAACCCAGATTTTCATTCCTGAAGTATGTGTGCCATTAGCTGTCCTGCCTATTTAAGGTTGTGGTAATTCCTGGTAACTCTTAAAACAGTACATAGAATAGAGCTGCCCCTGGAGTGTATTCCAGAAGTACTCCTTTATCATCTCAAGCTCTCTGTGTAGTAGCAACTGTGTTTCCCCTTAAGAGCCAGGACAAATTTCCCATTCAACCCAGCAATTCCCTCTGCCTTTTGATTCACTGGCCTAAGAAGCCTGGAGTGGCCAAGTATGCCAGTATCAACTTCCAGTTTAATGGAACCATTGCTGATTCTCCAATGAAAGTGTTTTCCCATTGGGAACTAAGACCTACACATCATCAGAGCACCAAGGTATAGGGAGTGAAAGCAAAAACCTTACTCATGTGTCCCTGGGGTAATAGTGAGGAGCTACTCCCATTCTTACCTCTTAATTTCCAGTCATGTGATTCCTGGCTATGGGAGAAACAATATTATGTATAATTATATGCATTATATATAATGTAGATACATTCATTGATTTATAGCACAGATAGCATCCTTGGAGGACATTGCCCAACCTTTCAAGGTGTTGCCAGCTAGCTAGTGTTGTTATTCAGCCTTCAAAAACCCATTCTACTTTCTGTCACCCAGTGACTACAGGATGATAGGGGAAATGGTCATCAGGAAATTCTGTAAGCGTGTGCTTTATTTCTTCTCTTCATTTGCTGCAAAATAAGTTCATTAATGAGAAGTAAGAGAAGTAACGCTTCTGTGTAAGATACTGGGATGGTAAGGAAAGCATCCTGTGAGTTTACAGGTGGTAGTTTTTGCACAAGCTTTGTGGGCAAGAAAGGCAAATCGATTGTCCATTCCAGTGAGAACTAAGTGCTCCTGCTTTTCTGTGCTGGAAGTGGTCCTGGGGATGTGCCTGTGGCTGTGCTGTTCTCTGCTGTCTGCAGATCGAGCTCTCAGTGGCTGTGGACAGATCCAGCCTTGGTGAGTGAGTCCATTGCTCAGCTCATGCATCTTCTCTCCGTCTTTGCTGCTGTAACTATTTCTTTCCAGCTTTATGGAGTAATAATTGACAAAGTTCTACATATTTAAGATGTACAAGTATAATGTCATAGTTGGATACATGAATATACTGTGAAATGATTACCATACAATGATCAGGTTAGTTCACATATCCATCACTTCATAGTTAGGAGCTTTTTTGGTGGGTGCTCTCTTAGCAAATTCAAGTATACAATACAATGTTATTAACTGTAGTCACCATTGTTATATGTTAGATGCCCAGGACTTAATCAGAATATAGCTGAACACCTGTATCCTTTGAGCTGTATCTCTCCCATTTCTGCCACCCCATTCTCTTAGTTCCTAGCAACCACTATCCTACTCTCTATTTTTATGGATTCAGCTTTCTTTATATTTCACATATAAAGTAAGACCATACAGTGTTTGTCTGTCACTGTCTGGCTTATTTATACTTAGCGTGACATCTTCCAAGTTCATCTGTTTTCTCACAAATGGCAGAATTTCCTTCTTTTTCTATAGTTGAGTAATATTACATTGTGTACATATACCACATTTTCTTTATTCATGTTGTTGGACACTTAGATTGTTTTCATCTCTTGGCTTTTGTGAATAGTGCTGCATTGAACCTAGGAGACCAGCTATCTCTTTGAGATACTGATTATGATTTGTGGGGATAGATACCCAGAAGTGGGATTGTTAGATCATATGGTAGTTCTATTTTTAATTTTCTGTTTCTCACTGATGGCTGTACCAGTTCACATTCCTGCCAGCAGTGCATCCTACGTCGTCACCAGTGCTTGTTATCATTTGTCTTTGATCTTAGCCATTCTAAGAGGCGCGAGATGCTTTCTCGTTGTGGTTTTGATTTGCACCTCATTGATGATTAATTATGTGAACACCTTTTCCCTTACCTATTGGCTATTTGGATGTCTTTGAAAAAAAATCTATTCCAATCCTCTGCCCATTTTAAAATCAGATCATTTAAGTTTTGTTTTGTTTTTGCCAATTAGTTGTATGAGTTCTTTATATATTTTGGATATTAACCTCTTACCAGATATATAGCTTGCAAATATTTTCTCCCATTATTTAGGTTGCCTTTTTACCCTGTCAATTGTTTCCTTTGTTGTTCAGGAACATTTTAGTTCAATATAGTCCAATTTGTTTCATTTTGCTTTTGTTGCTTGTGCTTTTGATGTCCTGTCCAAGAAGTCATGGTTAAGACCAATGTCAAGCTTCTCCCCTATGTTTTCTTCTAGGAGTTTTATAGTTTTAGGTCTTAGATTTAAGTCTTTCAAGTCAATTTTTGTAAGTAGTTTAAGGTCAAGTTCCAATTTCATTCAATTACATGTAAATATCCAGCTTTCCAGGCACTATTTATTGAAGAGACTATTCTTCCCACTAACTGTGCAGTTTATAAAGCCATCAGTAAGGACAGGGCTCCCTGGGGAAAGAGCAGGTCTGCTGATTGTTGTAATCTGGCACAGTCAAGATTACTCTTCCATAAGCATTCCTATGGTACCCAAATATCTTTACATCTGTGCTGTTCGGAGTGCTATGTTCACAGATCTTTTTTCCACAGCT